CCTGTTAAATGATGATTGTGCTAAACAAGTGAAATTCTTAAGCATATCCCTTTTATGAGATTAGTAATGCAATAGGGAAATAACTGTTCGAATTTATTCTTATATTAGTTATAGTTGAAAGTTTTGTTAACGTAGGAAATAATAATAAAAATAATCATAAAGAACTGTGGACAGTAAGAAAAGTATTAAGATTCTCTCTTATCCTTCAGTTTTTTTTCTATCCATTATGCTAATCCTTCTCCACAAAGTTCAATTTTAAATTGTTTAGGCTGAATTTATTTGTATTTTTTTTTAAATTCTCTTCATATTTTTTGTAAATAAAAGATAAAGGAGATTCTTTTTTCGATTCTTTAAAAATATCTTTTGAAGTTTCTAAAATCTTCCTTTCGATTCCTAAAATAGAAGTCCCTATAAGCTTCTTAAAACTTTTTCCTCTTCATTAAAAAATCATTTGAAAAAAAGTCAGTTTTTTAAAACATTATTTACAATTTTATTTCAATAAAAAAATATTTTAAAAGAAAAAAAAACTATTATCGGGCTTACGATTTGAAAAAATTGTAGACTCATAAATTGTCGCTCTGTTTGTCTGTCCTTCCTTAATCTCGAGAACCTTGTTAGATAGATAAAACTATAGATAATATGTAGAAATTTTATTGGCTGAAGGCCTCGATTAATTATATAGGAACTTCCGGTATAGAACGGAAGTCACGTGATTTTTATTCAGAACTTTTCCATAAATAAACTTACATAGATGACCGAAATGACACCATTGCTAGCAGGAAAAGTATGATGTACAGGGGCAAAGATACTACTAAATTGAGATCGAGAGCGTATATTTTAAATTCAATAAATTAAGAATATAATTAAAAATTGCAGCCCATTAAAATAAATTTTACTCGTTATTATATTTAAATTACAATCTTTAACCCAGCACGAGCTTAGTACATTTGTACTTTACTTTAATAAAAAGTAAAAGGATAAAATTCAATTTTTTAAAAGAGAAATGTGATTAAGATTACAATGTAAAAAATCCAAAAATTTAATTAAATCATTCTTAATTGATGGCAAAAAAAATAAAATAATTTAATCGTTAAATAAACAATTAGTTAAACATGACTGTAATTAACGAATGTATATATTATTAATTTATAAAGTTGTAATTGATGTAACCGGATTACTTTTCATGTAAACATTTACTTCAATATAATATTAATATCTTAATATAATATTGACTTTATAAATTTGTATGTATATTTAAAATATTGGCCCTGGAGATGAATTTCACACGAATTTACTTAACTGGTTTATCAATTAACTTTACTGAGTAATATAGTTCAGTACATTTATTTTAGTTTACATGCCTCAGTCTATATTAATATACGTATTAAAATATTAAAATAATATATAAAATTTAATAAAATTTTAATTTTTTATTATTATTATTTTAATAATTGTTTTTGAGACCCCCGTAAATGAGGCCTTAGTAAATTCGAATCAGTGGAAGCTTAGGGGTAGGAGGTCCCGATTATAACTATATTTGAAATTCCGGTTTGGACCGGAAGTCACGTGATTTTAATCGAAAATTTTTAACCACAATGGAGTTGCATAGATGACCTTCATTACTGTAACGTTATCAGGAAAAGTATGATTTACAGGGGCAAGACACTACTAATTTGAGGTTGAGAGCATACGTTTTAAATTAAATAAATTAAGAATATAATTTAAAATTTTCTTATATAACTTCTATTTAATCATGTGTTCTACTTTATGCTGTATGCTTATTCACGTTTTGTTGAATTTTATCTATTTGCTGCTATATTTCGTCACTTGTTTCTTTAATATTGCATTTAATTACTTATTATAAATTCATTTAACAATGTATTACTTTTTTTTACTTGACGTGAGTTCGACAAAGACTTAAATCTGAAATAAATCAAATTTCTGGATATTAGCATAATTGTGTTATATTTATTAGTTATGTTAAATTATGCGAATAATTTAAAATCTAATTTATGGTTTATTTGCATAATCTTAGTCAAATTTAGTGCTGTAAATTTTTTCTTTATTTTTACATAAACAAAAAACTGCCTGAGATAAAAATAATATTTATTTCAGGCAGCTTTTTAATGTTTATATTTAGTTTAAAGAATACATTTTAATATAGTTACTAAGCTTAAAAAATATTTTTGGGAATTAGGACTATCAAGCTTAAAAAGAATTTTTATTCGTCAAATTACACAACTCGTAATTTCCCATAGAAAAAGACCACCTGTTTTATTGTTAATACTATTTTTTCATATATGATTCTCATATACACATATTCTAAACGTGTGTATATATATATATATAATATAATATAAATTTTTTTTCTTAGATATTGCTTTTAACATGAAAACAAATGATCATAAGTGTTTTGAACCACGTGGTCCTGTTACACCTTTACCATCTCTTCCATCTAACCATATTTTTTTTTACTGTTATCCCATGTCACATCTCACAGCATCCTTCATCTCTCTCATCTTTTCTTAGTCTGCTTTTCATTTTTGTTTATTTTCAGAGAATTGAACAACAGACTNATTGGCCCTGGAGATGAATTTCACACGAATTTACTTAACTGGTTTATCAATTAACTTTACTGAGTAATATAGTTCAGTACATTTATTTTAGTTTACATGCCTCAGTCTATATTAATATACGTATTAAAATATTAAAATAATATATAAAATTTAATAAAATTTTAATTTTTTATTATTATTATTTTAATAATTGTTTTTGAGACCCCCGTAAATGAGGCCTTAGTAAATTCGAATCAGTGGAAGCTTAGGGGTAGGAGGTCCCGATTATAACTATATTTGAAATTCCGGTTTGGACCGGAAGTCACGTGATTTTAATCGAAAATTTTTAACCACAATGGAGTTGCATAGATGACCTTCATTACTGTAACGTTATCAGGAAAAGTATGATTTACAGGGGCAAGACACTACTAATTTGAGGTTGAGAGCATACGTTTTAAATTAAATAAATTAAGAATATAATTTAAAATTTTCTTATATAACTTCTATTTAATCATGTGTTCTACTTTATGCTGTATGCTTATTCACGTTTTGTTGAATTTTATCTATTTGCTGCTATATTTCGTCACTTGTTTCTTTAATATTGCATTTAATTACTTATTATAAATTCATTTAACAATGTATTACTTTTTTTTACTTGACGTGAGTTCGACAAAGACTTAAATCTGAAATAAATCAAATTTCTGGATATTAGCATAATTGTGTTATATTTATTAGTTATGTTAAATTATGCGAATAATTTAAAATCTAATTTATGGTTTATTTGCATAATCTTAGTCAAATTTAGTGCTGTAAATTTTTTCTTTATTTTTACATAAACAAAAAACTGCCTGAGATAAAAATAATATTTATTTCAGGCAGCTTTTTAATGTTTATATTTAGTTTAAAGAATACATTTTAATATAGTTACTAAGCTTAAAAAATATTTTTGGGAATTAGGACTATCAAGCTTAAAAAGAATTTTTATTCGTCAAATTACACAACTCGTAATTTCCCATAGAAAAAGACCACCTGTTTTATTGTTAATACTATTTTTTCATATATGATTCTCATATACACATATTCTAAACGTGTGTATATATATATAATATAATATAAATTTTTTTTCTTAGATATTGCTTTTAACATGAAAACAAATGATCATAAGTGTTTTGAACCACGTGGTCCTGTTACACCTTTACCATCTCTTCCATCTAACCATATTTTTTTTTACTGTTATCCCATGTCACATCTCACAGCATCCTTCATCTCTCTCATCTTTTCTTAGTCTGCTTTTCATTCTTGTTTATTTTCAGAGAATTGGACAACAGACTGGCAAAAGCTTTCTATCAGATGGGCAATGTTGACCCACCCTTCTAAATTTGGCACTTTATATTGCCAGATTTGTCTGTTTTTATAAGAAGCATTATGATATAAACATGCAGGCATCACGAGCATCAAGGAGCTTTTTTAATAATTAAAAAGAAAATCTATAAATATATATATTTTTAAATTAATTACATAAATTTTTTTATAATACACTTGTCTAATCTAACAAATGAAACACACTCCATGAAAATTTAATTTTTATTAAATATTTATTTTCAGATTTCATCTTTCATGGTTGAAGACAATTTTATCAATTTTTCAAAAACCTCCTTTCTTATTTATGAAATTCTGTATAAAGTAAAAATAGGGGGAAAATCTATTAAAGATTATCTAAGTAGAATTTAATAATAGATGAATTTTAAATCACAAATCTGCTCGGCATTAATTATTTAATGCTGCAAATTGTATCGAATAGTTTCAATGATTAAGTAACGAGAATTTAATCTTATTTTAATGTCTTAAACTCATGAAGTATGATGTTGATTACAGTTTAACTGTTATTGGTAGATTAAGTCCCTGTTAAATGATGATTGTGCTAAACAAGTGAAATTCTTAAGCATATCCCTTTTATGAGATTAGTAATGCAATAGGGAAATAACTGTTCGAATTTATTCTTATATTAGTTATAGTTGAAAGTTTTGTTAACGTAGGAAATAATAATAAAAATAATCATAAAGAACTGTGGACAGTAAGAAAAGTATTAAGATTCTCTCTTATCCTTCAGTTTTTTTTCTATCCATTATGCTAATCCTTCTCCACGTAATGCTATCTTAGCCTAATTAAATATTTCTTACTATATTTTGAATTTTTTTCCTGCTTATGCTTCTCATTACTATAAGCATTTGATACAAAATTTAATAAAAATTCATTACGAAAACAATAATAGAAAGTTAATATAATAGAATATATGATAAGGTTATTGCATAAGACAAGTTACGACGTAATACAATAGTAAAGACTAGAATTTAATAAGAACAATGCACAAAATGAGACGTAATAAACAATTGAGTAGGTATAATTGTTGATTCTGTATGCGTATTATTGTTGCTATACAGTGCATTAAAGTAAAAATAATGTGAAGAGCACTTCTACAGGAAGCAAACAGAATCAAAATTTAATTGGTTTACATATTATTCGAAGTTTAGATTTGCATCTATTCGGTGTAGAACATACAGAGTAAGTATTAATAAATAAATAAATCTGAAAAATATACGTGGCTCCATCTATAATCTGAGAAAAAATTTAAAAAAGAAATAAAGAGGAGGGAAAAATGGATAATAACTATCACCAAACCATTGGCCAATACCTCTTGGTTTACTGCGCATGCCGAGAGTTTATAAGTATTACAAATCAGTTGATAGTTGGGACCGAACAGAAAGAAATGGAGAGAGTATCAGTGATGGTCCTGCTGGTTACAGGAGTGGCAAACGGATGCGGTCCTTGCATCAAATCAGAATGCGTGCCACCGAACGGATGCTTGGCTGGTATGGTTACAGACTGGTGTAACTGTTGCTACAAATGCGGACAGAGGGAAGGAGAAAAATGCGACCATCCCAACATAACTGCCAACGTTCACGAATTCGGTAGATGCGGCGAGGGGTTGATCTGTCAAGTTCGAGTGGACTTGCCGGCGGGGGATCCAGAAGAAGCTTTGTGTGTCTGTCAACACACTTCTAAGCTGTGCGGAAGCGATGGAGTGACTTACGAGAACCAGTGTCAGTTGACTGAGGAGAGATACAGGAAAAGAAACGGGCTGAAAGCTGTCAGTAGGGGTCCTTGCAGGTTTGGTGAGTTAAAACTAATCGATATTTAAAACTTATCACTTGTTCTTCTTGTATTTTTATTATTTTTTCCACGTTTTTAAGATGAATTTTGAAGCGTTAAAAGCCGTGCATTTTTTCAATTTACGGTCTTGCCGTGTTTTTTGGGGTGTCCGAATTTATGAGTTTTGAAAAGAAACTCATACATTTTAACTTCCCAAAAAAGCAAAAAGATATAGAAATTGAAGGATATTTTAGACAGAATCTACAAGGGGGGAAAGATAGCTGTAAAAGTGAGCGCTAAAAAAAATTATTTCCAGAATTTTTTGTGATATTTCACTATAATAAGATGTAAAAAATTTAAATATTGTATTCGCTTTTTAAAGTATTTTATTAAATATTAGTAATTAAAACAGTTAATAAATTCTCCAATACACAAAGCCTACAGTAAGACTTCATTACTATCATTAAAAAAAACTGTTAAAATATATATTTACATTCGCTTTTTAAAGTAGTTTTAAGCATTTATTTCGCACGTTTTCAGCACTTAAAACACATAACTAATGCATTAGAATACTTATAAATTTAAAACACTTGTACATTTTATTCATTATTTTTGTACACCTTTAACAGACATGAAAAACTAGCATACAGCCAAATATTAAAATATAAATAAAAACTCTGTTGATTGGTTAAGAGTCATGCATCTAAACGATTCAAATATCCCCCCACCATTTTCATTTTCTAAAGTCTTTACACTGCTTAACGTTAAGCTACCCAACGTTCACTTACCTAAATTAGAGGAAAGTAATCGACTGATGTCATCATAAAAGCTCACTTAAAGTTCCTTCCTTTATTCTTTCATTGCTTTTTTTTTTGTGTGTGTGTGTATAAAGATATCGGTTTTTAAGTGGACCGAATTGCAATAGTATATATATATATATATATATATATCTTTCGATTTTTTGGATGCACTCTAGCTTAAAGATTCTCTTTGAAGTTATATATATATTTTTAATATATAAATATAAAAGTAGTTTCTTTATGTAATGTATTTTAGTTCTTTTAGTTCTATAGTGACTCTAACTCTAACATTTAGATTTTTCAACCCTTCTCCCTTAATGCTTTCTCTTATATATATGTGTGTGTATGTGTTTGGATATAAAGATAAGATACCTACTTAGCTGAATCAGAATCTGGGAAAAATAGCAAGGGAAAAAAGGAGAAAAAAAAATAAATACGTTTCTATCGATTCTCATTTATTAAGATATTTGACCTAGCTTTGATGTAAACAGAATAAAAGTTAAGAGTTGAACAAGATCCCAGATGTAAACAGAAACTATTCGGATGAGATTTTTTATTTTATATGTTACTTTATGACGTATATTTTTCATATATATANTATATATATATATATTATTTATTATATCTCTCTCATTTTTATATTTAGTGTCATCATTTTCTTTGTTTTCTTTCTTCTCCAAAATAATCTACACAAATACATATACTTGTACAAAACAATGTTTATGCTCCTATTTAATCTTCTGAAAATGAATTTTATTTATAAATTCGCAAACAAAACAGAAAAACAAAATATTTTTCTTTTTCTCTTCATTTTCCTCCTGATCCTACTTTTTTTTTTTACATTTTTAATAGTTCTCGTCACATCTTTCAATTTCTTCTGAGAAAAGAAAAAGCATTTGTACACATTCACACACACATACACACACGTGTGAACTCGCTCACAAGCTCACACTCACGCAAAACTCGCTCACAAGCTCACACTCACGCAAAACTCGCTCACTCACTCACATTCATAAAATAATATCTATATGTACAGTATAGTATATATTCTTCTCTTGAATTTCATTTCTAAATTCGTAAACAAAAACCGAACTAAAAGAAATCTCCATTTTTTTTCCTCCTCATTCGAATGTTATTTTTTAGAAGATTGAAATTTTAGAGTAGAAGCGAACGAATAAAATAAAAAAAATAAAAAAACACACACACACACACACACAGGAAAAGAAAATAAGAGGCATTCTCTTCCTTTCTTATCTAATAAAATTCAAATTGATTTCGTACTTTATTATTACTGTTATTATTCCTAATGATATTTTTCGAATTTTTAGAAAATTAAATTTGCCAACTGTCGAGGGTAGCATTGCCGAAAGTAGTGTTATAGTTCATTTATTCCATTGCAATCTAACAGATGAATGTTTTAAAAGTCAAGATGCAACTTCTTCATAAAGATTTATTTTTATTATTTAATATTTATGTTTGTTTTATTATTTATTATTAAATATATAAGAATTTTTTTATTAATAAAACACTCATAAAATGCAGACTGAAGTATTTTAATATTTAAAAGAAAATAATATATAAATTTTTAAAAACGTATAAAAAAATTTTATATATGATAAATTTCTTAATGAAAATCATATATTCTATGAACTTTTTTTAGTATTTTTTTCCTTGTTTTTCGAATTCTATTGTGAATATTTTAATAAATGATAAAGCTTCGGGTAGACAGACAGATGTTTATTTGTTTATTTATTTATTTATTAAAGCGGATTTGGTGGATTTTATTTTAAAATCGATATGTTGGATGACTTTTTCAATGATTAAACTTATCAAATGGCACACGTGTCAAATTAGTGTAGTGAAAATTTATATTGCTAAATTGATCGAAATCGTGTGGAGTATATTTTTTTAAATAGGAAAAAAGTCATTCGAAACATTATATTTTCATCAAGCTTTGGTAAATCTTCTTTTAAGATGTTTCCAAAAAAAAATGTTTGCCAAATAGCATCATTGTAGTATAATTAATAATTTAATTAATTAAACTTTTAATTAAAATTTTAAGAGAGATATTCTAGTTGAAGGTATAAATCTGTACAAAATTGCTCTATCGCTAAATATAAGCCTAGGAAGTCATAAAGTGATGAGATCAGGTGCCTACCGGTTACAGTTGGTCGTGGGTTCGCTCCTCACCAACGTGGCCAGCACGTTATCCGGTTTTTATTCAGGTTAATAACACCCAAATATGAGTCTAGTTTCATATTTGATTTAATTTTTACCGCTTCTCAGCTAATACTTTCTTCAGTTTTTGCTGTTATAAATTGTTCTGCATTACTGTAATATCTTGTTATCATTATCTTGTTACTTTATAACATTAATTTCCTTCTCCTACTGTTGTTCTATAACATTCTAACGCTCTATATCTATAATATTCTATAACTTTAATGCATTATAACGTTTGTTCTATAAGTTTACAGATTCCTCAATACTGGTGCAATAAAATAGCAGTAGCTGCGGCTCCTGTTTGCTTTTTAAAGCATAAAAATAATTTATTGTAGATTTTATTGTTAAGCAGCATAAGAATAAAACATATAGCACATCTGTTGCTTTCTAACAGCTCTAGTAATTGCTATTTTATAACCATTTTAATGTTTTATAGCTATTGCTCTTAGTCATACATTACTGTTCTGTATGTGTTATTTTACAGCTTATTTATGAGCAAAGATTATTTTATTATAGGAACAAAATGGCCAAATTCCTGAAGAGATTCAGCTAATTGTATATGATGAAGATGAGAGATAAATATAATTATTTCATTAATGATGTAGATGATTTTTAAAGTTTAAAGAGAGAGTATAAGATATAAAAGTTTCTGTTTTTTTTTTTTTAATTAATAAATACAACAATTTTTCTTTATTATTTAGCAGTAAATGTGCATTCTTCTGGCAAACTATTATCTATTATCATAAATAACTTAACATTATGTGTTGTACTAAAGCAAAGAATGGTAACTTCGATTTGACAATTGATAAAAATGGCTTCACTCAAACTTCTCCACTTTTCTTCATTGCTTACACCCTTAAGTGACATCTGATTACCTTCATGGATTACAAAGATGTCTTCCTTGTTTTTTTTCCTAAGTTAGTAAATTGACTTGACACAAAAACCTTCTTTCCTAAATTGAAATCTTTCTTTAAACTTTTACTTCTTACCAACTAAAATAATGGGAATTACATGATGAGATGTTGAGAAAATTTAATCCATTATCTGGTAATCTTGTACAGCTTTATTAATCCCATAATTTTTAAATTTTGAAAACACATTTAAATCTTTTACACCACACCAAATGATAACATGCTTCAGTCTGATTGGAGCTTCAGGAGTTAAATCCAAAAGCTTTGGAAATATTTTTTTTATTATATGAGTATTGATGCCATTTTTGAATTTAACACTTTAATATTAAATTAATAAATACAGTAATCACATTTTACAGGTTACAAAGTATTTTTCTCATTTTAAAAGACATTTTTTTATGTCATACTTGATCCCAATTTATTATATTATTTTTTTTTTACATTTTACAACTAAAAATGCAAATTTATAATACATTTTTACATATATAACATTATAAAAATGCTTTAAGTTATTCTGATGGTGAGACCCACAGTCAGCAAGAAGTGTCTAAAGTAGACTGCATCTAGACTTCCCACACAATGGTCTGGCTATTGTGTGGGAAGTCTGGGATCCCCACTACCAAAATAACTAAATTTCTTCCTCCTTATTTAGTGTCATGCTTTACTTGTGAAAGAATAAACAAAGATCACTAACTCCTACTATTCCAGACTTATGGGACATTTTGTTTATAATTCTGCATAAAGTTATATAAGAAATTCCTCTTTATAATATCAAATTCTTTTAAAAATATAAAAAAAATATTTCTATTTACTACTATTTATTTCCTTACATCACTATTTACTATTATTTCCTTTACTATATATGTAACTATAACACTATTTAATACTGTTATTTTATTTGACTTTAAATTTTTGTAATTATTAGAGGAGTATTTTTATATACCTTCACTTGTTAAGCTAATTTATTTCTTCAGTAATGAGGTATAAACTAAAATTTGCACACAAATTTTCTCATGTATATAACTTTTAATGCTACAACACTGATTAAAAGTACGCCAAGATTAATTTAAGGTTATCATTTTTTAAATATAA